CAAAATGACTTAGGGCATGGATGTTAACTAATGGTTAAAAGGGCTTATCAGTGCAGGGAATTAATGTCAGAATGAGGAAAGTTGCAAAGAGAGATTTATGCTGTGCTTGACAGAAATTCTAAGCAGAGGGACTCCAAAGGGACATGCATCCTTTCACAGACCCAAACACAGCCCAGGAGAAAGTGAAGTTTGTACCCATCTGGTGCCTGACCCTATTCCACAGAAAGACTGATGTCTTCATAGAGCTCCATGCAGATACCATTGATTACTACAGTCTGTCCTACTTCCTAACACATTTTCTGACAGGCAATTGTATTTGCTACCCCTAACCCTAAAAATACATTGTTCTCACTGAGCAGTAATACTACATATTTCATCTTAGGTGTGTATTGCAACAAAAAAGTTTACATCAATACCTGCCCTCTTCCTTTCATATTTTGCTTTAAACTTGACTTTCTATAGTGGGTTGACCCTGGTTGCATGCCAGGCACCCACCAAAGCCATTCTCTCACTCTCCTCCACAGACAGACAGGGGAGTGAAAATATAATGAAAGGTAAGGACCAGGAGAGATCACTCACTGAATACCCTCATGGGCAAAACAGGCTCAACTGCATGATGAAGTGATTTTATTACTAACAGAGCAGAATAATGAGAATATGAGACAGACCTTAAAAAAATGCCCTCACCCCTCTCTCCTTCCCAACTCTACTTTCTCCCCCAAGCAGTGCAGGGAGATGGGGAGTGGGGGCTATGGTCAGTTCATCACGTGCTATTTCTGCCACTGTTCTCAGGGAGAGGAGTCCTTCCCTTGCTCCAGCACTGGGTCCCTCCCATGGGAGACAGCTCTCTATGAACTTCTCCAATGTGAGTTCTTGCCACGGGCTACAGTTCTCCATGAACTGCTGCAGTGTGGGTCACTCCTCACAGAGTGCTGCAGTCCTGTTCCTCAGGAACAGCTCCAGCACAGGTTTCCCACAGGATCACAAGTCCTACCAGAAACTCTGCTCCAGCACAGGTCTCTTCTCTTAACAGGGCCACAGGTCCTTGCCAAGATCCTGCTCCATCACAGGCTTTCCACGGGGTCACAACCTCCTTTTGAGCAACCACCTGCTCCATGTGGGTCTCCTCCACAGGCTACAGGTGGATCTCTGCACCCTGTTAAGCTCCATGGGCTGCAGGGCACAGTTGCTTCACCATGGTCTTCACCACAGGCTGCAGGGGATCTTCAGCTCCAATGTCTGGAGCTGAGGATTCCCTGCAGCTGTCTGAAGGAGCTGTCTCGTCCTCCTTCTCCACTGAACTTGGTGTATGCATAGTTGT